TTTGTGACATCCATACTTGCATGACGCGTGACTTACCATGGTGTGTGACATCCGTGCGTAAGAGTCATGTAACGAGCACCCAAGTCATAGAGCATGCGTAAAGTATCTAGACTGCTGTCAATAGCATGACCCCCCTCGACTCCAATTAATGACGCAATCTTCTTATTCTTGTGAGCATCCAGAATACCTTGCGCGGTGGTAACAAACACGAAGGTGTCGGGATACTTTTCGGTAAATCGATGGATGACGTCCATTTGTTCAAGGAACAGTCGCACAGCGTTTTTGTATTGATTTACGCAGGAGATGAAGGCTGCCCAAAACTATTTTTAACAAATAAAAACGATTTTTATATTTGTATWAATAGTCAGATTTGATCTATGACGTACTTGAGATAGTATGCGCATTCTGATTGGCTTATGTTATTCTGTAAACGGGTCTGCATAGCACAAGTCAATACTGAAGAAATGGGGAAAACATAAGCTTATAGTTCACACTTCTTCCATTACTATTTCTTGCTTTCCTTACTAACTTTCAGGCGTAATCTATTCCGGGAGCAAAGCAAACCCTTTTCTATTGGTAAAGTTAGGTAGACTAACCTTGCAACCGAATTTAGTTGCTCAGTTTAAGTTGCTCAATATACCTACAAAAAGCTACCTAATGGACCGGCGCTGACGAGTGTTGCTTGAGATCTGATTAAGATATATAACTCAAATATAGTCCAGTGAACAGTGATGTTTACATACCTGACCCGCTACCATGCCTTTCCGCAGTCTTGGGATGTCAGTGTGTAGAAATGGGRTTCCTTTGTCGAGAGTGATGTTGGCCAGTCGGTTTGAATAGTATGATCGTAGCTGCCAGGGAAGATCATTGTGCCTACAGAACATTTAAGAACAGTCGTAACATAGCCAAACATTGTTGGCTGGAGAAGAAAAGAAAACAATTCTTAACAAATGTGACAACACCTTGAACGGCGCTAACATTGTTGCCATGTCACGGTTGCTACGTTTCTGCGCTTGCTACGACGCGTTTTGTTCTCTTTCTTGAATGAATTTGTTCAAGATAGTGATAAATTGACTGATACAAACCCATCGATCAGTGGCACGTCTTCTAAAGCAGCCATGACTCGTTCTTGAATTGTCAGTTTTGGTTTCGGCTTGTCATCCTTGTCCTTCCTACTCAACACAACAGCTAGGACTATAGCTACAGCCAGTATGATGGCACTCACAACACCAATGATTAGAAACTTAAGATTCATGGCTGCATATGCAATACTTTTTCAGTTTGACTAGTGTATGATACTGTGAAAGACAAGAAGACAGCACGGCACTGTACGGTCAAGGACTACAATAGCTAGCACACTAGTAGTGACCCCAAAGATGTATCGTCCGTCACGCCACGTGACGGTCTTGACACCAAGGTGCCATGTTTTTGTGCAGCCGGTTATACGAAGTCATTTCAACCTTGTACACATAAAATAAACGGCTTTTTTGCGTTTTRAGAGCAAGAGGTCTTGCGCAAAAGCTGAGATTTATCTCATGTCTTTCTAGTTTTTCTGTGACGAAAGGCCTTATGGGGGCTCTCGTCACTATGTCATCGTTTTGAGTGACCGAACGATAACCATTCACTTCTAGCAGGCGTTCCTTGCGAGTCCTATCTTTAAGTTGAAAACAGAGAAAATCTCTAGAGAAAAAAAACAATTCAGCAAAAAAGTAACAACAGCAAAGAAAAGAAGAAAAAAAGAAAGGAAAGAAGAAAAGAAAACAAGAATCARACGAAAAAGAAATAATAAACAAGCGAAAAAAAGCAGGAAAAAAAAGCAAATTCCAGAAGCAGGGCTCGAACTCAGAACTTTCACTTCAGGATAAGATGTACCCCCCCTGAATACATAAGAAATAATGAAAATGAAAAACTAAAAATATGGGACGATTCCCCCGAGACATTCTATGAAGCTGAGGCGGCGAATCGGCTTACGTTACGGTTAGAGATTTCGGCCCTTCCACGCTATCCCGAGTGAACATAAAACTTAGTCTTAACCAAAAGGCCAGGGAGTGAGGGGGTAGCCGCCCACTAGAGCATACCTTTAGCTACCCTCTTAGACCATAGTACTATGAAGACACTTACAGATTTCTAATATCTAATTGGGGTAGTCTATTCGGTGAAGTTCCATGCTATTATATGACGTCACCAAAATCCTTAGGGATCAGCGAGCCAATCAGAGCTTAGTTCGGGAATTAGCAAACGATACAGGGTTTGCATAATCATTCTTCAGTAGATTTATTATTTGAGGGGGGTGGGGATGGGTGCTGAGTGCTGGTTTGCGGCCGAATACCGATGTACTCGATGTAATTGACGGCTGTCACCAAGCCGTTCAATTTTCGTTATTGTCTTTCCAAATCATCACAGGAAAATTAGTTGCACAGTTCTTATATCAGAAAGACATTATTCAGTATTCGGATAAAAACCAGGGCACAAATCTCTTGAAATTCTTAACGTAAGTGGTTTACAAACCAGGCAGATTTTGCTGGAATTCAACGGAACACAATTAAAGACCTCTGCAACGTTCCATGTACATTTTTGCTCTTAATGATATAAACGTTTACACATTATTGAATATAAATATAAAATGTTAACAATTGAAAAGGATGAATGATAATTCGTAGATTAAATTAATAAAAGAAATCAAGGATAACTTTGCAAGCTTTCGCTTCTATTGCAAAACTATAATCAGGCAAATGATTTAATGTAGTAACTTTAAAACATGAATGCAAAAATACGTGTCTTTGACTTCAGCTAAAYTAAAGCTCTAAGGAACGCTTAATATTGTGGATAATTCCRAATCTTTCAGAMGGATATGTTTATTAGGCAGGGAAACACTGACGTCCCGCGTCAGGCCCCACGGGAGGAATGATCAACCATCACAATAGGTTCCTTGTCCCCTGGGATTCGCCGCCTGTTGTGTATAACTCATAGGCAACATAATGGTTGATCGCCACGTGATGCTTCCAGTTCCTTGCAGCGTATACAGATGATTCAGAAAACGTTGTATACTGAAGATAGTGTATTCAAAGTTTACTAAATCTCTTAATGTCCTGAGTCACATGCAGGCCTCGACTGCCTATTTTTTCAAGATTAGAAGAATGGAAAAGGGCCCCCCACGACCMATTTTCTTGTCAAAACCCGGATGGAAAATCAAATAATGAACTCAAATTAAATTCATAAATATTTCCCAGACAAYAAAGACTTGAGCTTAAGAGTTTTCAAATGAACAGAGTTTTATTTTTGAATATTTAGTAAGGAAAGCTAAACAWAGGTCTGCATGTCTTGTTCACTGCTATGAAGTTATCGTAGGGTTTGACACGTGACTGCGTTTCCTTGGCGACCTGTAAAGATAAAAAAGGTGAATGAACTGCATGAAGAGTAAAACTGTTATCTGTCTTTCTGTACTTTGCTTAGAGCGGATTTCGTATGAGTGGGAAACGGACGGTACTGTACTGTGACCGTAATCGTACTGTAACCAAATTCTACTGCCCATTGGTTCACCAAAATTGTACAGGCCAGGTCCGGTAACTGTGCGGTAGCCGTGCGGTAACGGTGTCCCACTCATACGAAATCCGCTCTATACTCTACGCTCTTTATCTCTTTACACAACTTATACTCTACGGCAAACGCTTATGCTATCTTTTTTGTTTTACAAGAGTATAAAAACAGCACTGAATACCTGTTCCATCTTCTTCATGGCTCGAATCAAGTTTAAGCCCGCAATTTTCTTGATGTCTTCATCACTGTAACCACGTCTGAGAAGCTCTTCCAACAGTGCAGGGTACTTGGATACATCTTCTAGTCCAGTCGGGACTCTGTATTGAAAACACATGAGCTCTAGTTACCCAGCATTGTATTACAATAAATAACATCTCAGAGCGTGTGCATATTTTTGTTAGCAAAATTGAGCGTCGATCGAGAAAGTAGCGTGAAATAATTAGACTTTCCTTGAATGAAGTGCTAGCCCATGGTGGATCGATTCTATATTTCAAAGTATTAGGCATGCGCAACGACTACGCAAAACCCTTCTTACCTAGGCACGCCGTCGTAGTCACCTCCAAGTCCAATGTAGTCCACTCCTGCCACTTTCTTAATGTAATCGAAGTGATCTTAGTAAATAAAGAGAAGTGAAATGARGTTTGAAATAATATGGATACCGCAAACAGCATGTACAGCGGTATTACCTGCTACGTCATTCAAAGTCGCATTATTTTTACACGTCACGAAGTTGTTGTAGAAGTTCACCATAACAACGCCACCATTTTTCGGCTGAAAAGTATTTAGATAGTGAATTATAAGCCTTTGTAAAKCGATTAAACTWAYATTCACGGATTTAGATGCCTTGCACCACAGCTTCTTCGATCTCCTTTCTACTTTGTGGGCTTCCTGTCCTTTTCAATATATCAAGGTCCCCGCTCGGTCAATGGGATACTAAAGGGATCCCAAAAGGGCGAAATCAAGGGTTGGTTGCGGAGGAACCTTGGATTTAGATGCAGGGGATGTCCAGTTTTGTTTTGTCCCAAACATATCCTACAATGCATTGCGCATAAGGCATATGACRTCATACCATCATACATACCATTCTCTYCAGGACGTCATCTGGTACATTTCTAGAATTGTTGCACAGGGCGTACGCCGAGGAATGACTGAAAATCACTGAAAAAAAGAAACAWTCGTATTTCAAACGATTCCTTTTGAGTGATCTAACTTCCTAGACCCTTAACCAGGTGGATATGGTGGCCAAAAAAATTGAAAGTGAACCCCTCGAGGACCAGGGTCATGTTTCTATGTTGCTAGGTGTGGTAGCAATACGATTTCCACTCTAGTAGTTTTCTTGTAAATTCTGATGCTGGGAGATATAAGTTATTCCATAAACAAGTAAATCTGCAAATCATTTGAAAAGGATAAAAAACCGAATTGGTTACCTGGTGCAGTGGACACGTCAAGGACATCGCGCATCACCTTCGCCGWGACGTGAGAAATATCAACAAACATTCCCATTCGATTCATCTCTTGCACAACAATCTGKAACAACAGACAAAAATGATTATCTAGGTACTTTTCATGCGTCCAAAATCTTATGATAATTAACTTGTATAATGAGATGAATTCAGATTGAATGATACTACTAACCTTTCCAAAGTCAGTCAAACCATTATGTTCTGCTTTCTTTGGAGAACACGAATCAGCCCTAAATAAAGCATGTCAGTCGAGTCATTTGTGACATCCATGCTTGCATGACGCGTGACTTACCATGGTGTGTGACATCCGTGCGTAAGAGTCATGTAACGAGCTCCCAAGTCATAGAGCATGCGTAAAGTATCTAGACTGCTGTCAATAGCATGACCCCCCTCGACTCCAATTAATGACGCAATCTTCTTATTCTTGTGAGCATCCAGAATACCTTGCGCGGTGGTAACAAACACGAAGGTGTCGGGATACTTTTCGGTAAATCGGTGGATGACGTCCATTTGTTCAAGGAACAGTCGCACAGMGTTYTTGTATTGATTTACGCAGGAGATGAAGGCTGCCCAAAACTATTTTTAACAAATACAAACAATGTTACAAGGTGCAGCCTTCATTTCAGATCAGTACCACAGAACAGAGTTCCGAACCAATCAAAATGAACGTAGTATTTCAAGTACACTATGGTTTGAAACTTTCTATTGGTCCAATTATGATTATTACATACCTGACCCGTTACCATGCCTTTCCGCAGTCTTGGGATGTCAGTGTGTAGAAATGGGGTTCCTTTGTCGAGAGTGATGTTGGCCAGTCGATTTGAATAGTATGATCGTAGCTGCCAGGGAAGGTCATTGTGCCTATAAAAGAGCTGCAGTTCAAGAATCACAACCAACCGTCGTACCTTGCGAGTCGAAGCGCCATTTTAGGTGGACACGAAAATGGCGGGATTCGTTAGGATTTCTTAAAGTGAGCGCGAATCGTCTTCCATCGATCCTTTAAGTTTGTACAGAAATACCTTTAACTAAGTTCCTCACAGGTACTATCAATATATAATCTATTGTATGCTTGTCACATGCATTTAAACGTAATTAAACAATAACAAAGGCGCGTGCTGTATCATGGTTGGTTAGGATTCTTTAATGCAGTCGTAAAATATGTTAACATTGTTGGTCGGACAAAGAAAGAAAAAGATTCGTTACAAATGCGCTAACATGGTYGCTGGCTTTTTCTGTTGCTACTTTGCTGCGCTTTTCTGGCTAATAATAATAAAAAAAWWRRAWTTTYCCMAMMAAMMMCMA